TATTCATGTTGATATTTTTATAGATGTAGACAAATTTCAGCATGATTATTAAACTGAGGTAACAACTATTTGTCAACAGTATGTAATATTTTTAAAACTTTTATTGATTATGCTATACTTCCTTGGTGCTTTTATAGTAATCCCTGGGAAAGCTACAGGCATTGTTTTAAATTATCGAAGATTCTGTGAATGGCTACTCTCTACACTCCAGGTCACCAAGTTCTTTATAGGCTCACAAGGTGTAGGATTTCCCCCCACCCTCCTATTTACCTTTACTTCCCTCCCTCCCTCCTCCCCTCCCCTCCCCCACTTCCTTCGTTTTCTTCCCTCTCCCTCCTTCCCTTTCTTCCTTCCATTTATTCCTTGATTCATACTCACTTATTCAACAAGCATTTATTGTCTAATATGGGAAAGGCATTAGACAAATTACACAGAGACAAAGAAAGAGCCACAATGCATCTCCTGCCCTTAAAAACCTTACAGTCTTAGAAGTAGACAACTAATCATTAATTTCAACTGAGTGTTATAAGTGCCAGCATAGGGATAAACGCAGAATGTAGAGTTCAAAGCAGAAGGAAAAAAGTTAAGAGATGGTTTCACCAAGGATTTTCTTCCTTTTAAGTTGAGATTTAAAACAAGAGAATTCAGCTACACAATGATAGGATTGAGAGAATGAACAGAGTCAAACAGACATTATATTTTGAGGGAAGAGTATTTATAAAGAGCTGGAAGAATGAAAATATGTGGCACATTCTGTTGTCCTGAGGTTGTTTCAGGTGGTTAGAGTATAGAGTCAGAGGGAAAGTGGGAGCAACAAAGAGGCTGGAGACAGAAACAAGGGCAAATGTAGAGAAACTTGTACTACTATCTATTTAAGATCAGGTTCTTCCTTCTCATTGATGCCATTTCCTCCTCCTCTAGTATTTCAGCCCAGTGTTTTTGCTTTAGCGGGTTGGTTCTTTTGTTTGTTTTTGTTTTTGTTTAGTGTTTTCACCCTTGTCTATTTCTGGATCCTTCTCTCTTGTCTATGTAGCAGTGTAAGTCATTCTCATATGAATTCAGGTTAATATTCTCCACACTGCATGAATGAGAACAAAATTAAGACATTATAAATGAAAATAAAACTTAAAAAAATTTTGAGAATTTCAAATCTTGAATCTTATTTGCAAGAGGTAGAGTTTAAAAATAATAATAATAAAAATGGCTGGGCAGGATGGCTCATGCGTGTAATCCCAGCGCTTTGGAAGGCTGAGGTGGGTAGATCACCTGAGGTCAGGAGTTTGAGACCAGCCTGGCCAACATGGTGAAACCACATCTCTACTAAAAATACAAAAATTCGCCGGGCATGATGGCACACACCTGTAATCCCAGCTACTGGGGAGGCTGAGGTTGGAGAATCACTTGAACCCGTGAGACACAGGTTGCAGCAAGCTGAGATCGTATCACTGCACTCCAGTCCTGGTGACAGTATGAGACTACTATCCCAAGAAATAAAAGAAACAAACAACAAAAAACCTTTTTTTTAAAAAGGTAAAAGGAATTTTAATTAGGAAAGTCTAACACACAGAGTTGTGTGCAAAATATTAACCTGGGAATAAATATAAACAAACATTTATTGTGTAAATTAATAAATTATCTTGATAAGAAAATTAATAAAACGATAGAAAATTGAATATATGTCAGGAGAGGATCACAAAATCCCTAAACTGTTCAGAAAGAAGTTAAAGATATTGAGTATGCTTAACATCTGTCAAGTGAAATATGCATTCCACAAACTTTATTAATAATTCATAACTTCAAACCTTGCAAATAAAAGCATAATAAAAAGCTCAACTCTAATCATTCTAAACTTATGGCTTCAAAATTCATAAAGCAAAAATTAGGAAAAATGAGAAAAGTAACCCATCTCCCTGAGATATTTTAATTCATCTCTCACAGTAATTGATAGAAGTGTCAGAAAATAAACCAGAAATATAAAAGATTTAAATAACACAACTAACACAGATGGCTAAATCAATCTACTTAGAATTGTATCCCCAAATCAGAGAAAACATTTTTGTCAAATGAAATATTTATGCAAATTACCCATATATTAGAACATGAATTAAACCATAATAAATTTTAAATTATTTCTATCATATAGACCAATTTTATAAACATATCAGGATCACATTACAAATCAATTTTAAAAAATAACTTTAACATTAGATGAAGATGGAAGGGTTAATTTGTCTCATCACTGTCTGATTTTGCAAAGACACAGTTTTCCTTTTGGAAAGTTCCAAGAACATTGATTAAGGTTCAATTTGGGAAAACAACTCAAATAAACAGAGATAGGTCATGGGTATGTTTAGAAGTCCCTATCATAAAGACTAGAGTTCTTACTCAATTATTCCATAAGTGGATACAGTTTCAATCATAGTTCCAACACAAATTTTTAAAGAAATGAACCGGATAATCCTGAAACCTATATGGAAGAGCAAGAATCAAGAAAAGCCTAGAACTCAAAAGAAAATATAAGATCAGAGGATTCACTATCACAGATAATTAACACCCATTATGGAATTTTAGTGATGCTGACATGGAGTGTTCAGGTGAAGATGGTCAAATAGATCAAAGTAAAAAGTGAATGGAAAAAGATCCACACAAACATAAAAACCTAATGTGGGAGAGAGAGAGCACTGATTACAGATATATAAACAAAACCCATCAGAAGATTGCATTGTAACAATTTGTTTTATATATTTTACAAAAAATAACTGGAACCTCACTTCACATTACACCCATACATTAATTTCATATTAATTATGCATCACATCTGGCAAGTGAAATATGCATTCCAAAAATTGTAGAAATAGCTTTTTACTTCCAAATTTGTAAATAGAAGGCAGAGTGAGAAAAATAAGCCTCAATTTTAAACATTCTAAACATAGTTTCATCTAAAACTATCACATAAACATTAAAAGCAGAATTCAGAAACATTGAGAATGAAGTAACAGAAAATATTTTTATAATCTCAGGAGTGGGACAATTTCTTAAACAAGTTCACAAAAGGAAAAAGCACAAAGCAATGTATTTATACCTGATACTACATTAAACTGAGATGTCTTTTCATCAGAAGTCACCATAAAGAAATGAAAAAAGTTTGGGTAAATATATTTTTAACATTTGTAACTAGAAAATATTTAGTATCCACAATATATAAATTCTTACAAATCAGTGAGATGACACTCAGTATATAGCAGGAAAATCATGAGCAGGTTTTCACAGAAAAGGAAATACAAATCACCACACAAAAATCATTAAAAATGTTCAGTTCCATTAATAACTAATAACAAACCATAATGAGGTACGATTAAAAAGCCTTATTGTAGAGAAGAATGTCTTTAACTCCAGGTTGGAATGCAAATTGGCATAATAATTTATATATTATTTCCTTTTACTATACTATTATTTATTTTATCTATTATGTTCTTATACAACAGTGAATGAGATATGGCAGGAAAAGAAAGCTTTATCTTCAGAAAAGATGAGTCATAATGAAAGGTCAGATGCTTCCAAGCAGGAGCACACCACTGCTGGTTTTAAAGAAGAAGGGAACAAATAGCTAGGGAATGCAGGCAGCCTCTGAAAACTGAGTGTGATCTCAGGCTGACAGCTGCCAAGGAAACAAAGGCTTCAGTTCTCAAACCATAAGAATTAAATCATGTCAAAACTGAATACCCCAGTTAGAACAGGTAGTATCAAAAAGACAAAAAATAATGAATGCTGTTGAAGATGCAGAGAAAAGGTACTCTCAAACGTTGTTGGTGGGACTATAAATGAATACAGCCACTGTGGAGTGGAGATCACAGCAGTATGAAGATTCTTAAAAAAAAAAAAAACCCACTAAAAAAAGATTTACATATGATCCAACAATCCCACTGCTGGTTATATATCCAAAGAAAAAGGAATCAGTATGTCCAAGAGATATCTACACCTTTGCATTTATTGCAGCACTGTTCACAAAACCTAAGATATGAAATCAACCTGCTTCCATCAACGGATGAGTAGATAAGAAAATGTGATACACAATGGAATACTATTTGGCAATAAAAAGGAACGAATTCCTCTTATTTGCAGCAACATGGATGGAACAGGAGGGCATTATGTCAAGTGAAATAAGCCTAGCACAGAAAAATGAATACCATACGTTCTCCTTCATACATGGAAGCTAAACAGGTTGATCTCACAGAAGCAGAGAGTAGAGTAGTGATAACTAGAGACTAGGAAGTGTAGGGGGTAGGGGGCATAGAGAGAGGTTGGATAAGAGATAAAAAATTATAGCTTAATAAGACAAGTAAGTTTTAGTGTTCTTTAGCACTGTAGAGTGACTCTAGTTAATAATAATTCATTCTATATTTTCAAAATCCTGGAAAGAGGGCAATTTTGAATGTTACCAACACAAAGAAATGCTGAATGTTACCCTAATTTGATCATTACAGATTGTATACAGGTATCAAAATATCACATTAGACCCCTTATAAAAATGTACAATTATTATGTGTCAATTAAAACAAAAACTGAATAAGTTCTTGTTTGAAGTTTTTCTTCAGTTTTTATTTTAATTGACACATAATAATTAGACATCTTTATAGGGGTCTATTCTGATATTTTGATACCTGTATACTAAAAATAGTGTTATCCTGGAGTCTCCAGACAGAAATGTCAGGCTACCGATACCCTGATTTTAGTCTTGCCAGTCCTAGGGCAGAGCAACCACTTGAGCCATGCTGTGCCCAGACTTCTGAGTTAGGAAAAGGTTGAGATAATAAATGAGTACTGTTTCAAGATGCTAAATTTGTGGTAATTTGTTAGGCAGCAATAGAAAACTAACATAGGCAAATTGGCTAAATATTAAAAAAATTGGCCAATTGCTATTTAATTATTGACAAAATGTTTGCTATTTATAACTCAAAACAAAAATCAGTATTTTTTATTTTTAAATATGAAAAACTCACCGTTTTTGAAAGAGAATGTAATTCATTTTTTGATGACTTTGTTTCCCTTATTGCTTCAGTCACTTCCTCTTCCTTCTCCTCAATATTAGTATTAACATTTATCACTGATGAAGAGTAATGATCAAATAGACTGGTAAGTTGATACATCTCTCTCCTAGGGAGAAAAAAATATATTTTAAATTATACTTAGGCCAGGCTTGGTGGCTCATGTCTGTAATCCCAACACTTTGGGAGGCCAAGGTAGCAGATTACTTGAGTCCAGGAGTTCAAGACCAGCTTGGGCAACATGGAGAGACAATGTCTTTACAAAAAAAAAAAATGGAAAATTAGCCAAGCATGGTGGCACATGCCTGTAGCCCCATCTACTGAGGAGGCGGAGGTGGGAGGATTGATTGAGCCCAGGAATTTGAGGGTGTAGTGAGCTGTGATTGATTTACTGTACTCCAGCCTGGGTGACAGAGTGAGACCCTATCTCTAAATAAATAAATAAATAAATAAATAAATAAATAATACTTAAATTAGCTTTAACAGTATGAATCAATGGAAATCCATCCCAAAGTAACTTGACAATTTCTAAAAAATACTACTTAGATGTTAAGTAAATAGTGAGGGAAAAAAGTCATCAATAGTATTGTTTCCAAGGGAAAACATAATTGAGAGAAAAATCAATTATAAATTCTTTCAAATAAACTGTCTTTGAATCTGATTTCAGGTAAGAGATTTACACACTTTTAATTCAGAAGCTGGGTAATACAGGGATGGAAAGGTAAGAAAAAAAGAAGAGGAGGCAGAATTGAAAAGACCAAGCAGTTATAGCTTTCACAGCCTTAGAGGTAAAATAAAGGAAATTGTAGCTTAGGAAAACACAGGACTTTTTAAAAAGAAGTAATAGTCAAAGAGTTATTCGTTCCTATATGACCCTCCCAAGAGGACCAGTTCTAGTCTGTGAACCACACAGTCCTTTATCTAATCTAGCAAGTAGAAACCATCTTCCAAATATAAAATTACTTTAGATACTGTTATGGTTGTTTAATGTAGCAAAAAAAAAAAGTGAGAAAATGATAAAATTACCATTTTCATAAAATACCAGCAAATAATATAGATAATTACAACTTTTTAAACACACCTTAAACAAAATAGTAGACTAGGAGATTTATTTGAAACCCATATAAAAGTAAAACTTTATATGTAATAAACTCATACAAGTCAATATGTAATAAAAAAATTATTCAGTAGAAAAAGGCACAGAGAATATGAACAATCTCCAGTAAATATATGATGTGCTTATTGAATTGGCCCAGATTCTTATGCACCAACCCTGATTCCAGCAGCATGGTCAAAGGAAACTGAAATCTACAATCTCACTATAGAAATGAAAATTAAAGGAACTAACAAATAGGCAAGAACAAGATTCTTTACATTTCCATGTCTGCAGAGTATAGACTTAACCTGTCAGAATCCTAAAAGCCAGTTAGGCAATGAGAGTTAGGTAGCGTCAACATTCAAAATGTATTAATTTCTTTTGAAATTAATTTTTCTTCTCTCAGTGTTATCTGTTGCCTCCAGTCCAGAGAATACACTATGGATTTTTGCCTGAGTGATGGACAATTGCCTACTGCCATGCAATTTAAGAGTTATTATTTTAGTGGTTCATTTATTCCAATTTCTTGATGAAGTTGATGCCACTAATTCCTCAGACTTTTGAGGATTTTCCAGGAAAGCAGTTTATAGTATGCTTGTCTCACTGTTATTTTAAATTTCATCATTGTTATATCAGCTAAATCCAAATAATTTTAGAAGAATAAAAGGGAAGAATCACTCTACCAGTTGTTAAGAATTACTATGCAAACTCTGAAATCAAGAAAGTGTGATATTGGCAGAGGGATAGCCAAATAGATAAATGGAATGGTCATAGACAACTCAGAAATAGAGCTATACAAACATGCCTGATTTTTGACAAAGTTACAAAATCAATTTAATGAAAGTAATTTAACATATGGTGGTGGAATAATTACATATTCATTGGCAAAAAAAGTGAAGCTCAAGCTAAATCTCACATTTTACACACAATCTAACTAAAAATGGCTTATATATCTAAATACAAATTGTAAACCTATAATATTTTTAGAAAACAAACTTCTTTGTTACACGATTAGGGCAAGATTTCTTGTGTGTGACACCAAGTACATGATGAATAAAAGAAGAAAGTGATAAGTAGAATTTTAGAAAAATTAAGAACTTCTGCATTATAAAACACCCTCAAAGACAAAAAGACAAGACTTTACTAAAACATAGAATATATTTGCATATAGCATATCCGATTAAAAGTCTTGCATTTTCAAAATTAAAGAATTCTCTACACACAACCATAAGAAAACAAACATTATAATGGGGAAATGGCAAAATATTTGAACAGACACTGTATGAAAAAGAGACTTCAATAACAATTGAGCACACGAAAAGATGTACATCACAATTTGCCACTAGGGAAATGCAAATTAAAATCATAATGATATATCACTACAAACTTACTAGTCTAGGTTGAATTTTTTTTTAAAAAAATTAGTGTTCTCTTGTAGAGAAACTGGATCTCTCATACATTGCTGGCATTCAGATAAAGTGGTACAGCCATTCTGGAAGACCAGTTTGGCAGTTTTTTAGAAAATTAAATTTACACTTAACATACATCCCCAAAATCACACTTTTTGATATTTATCCAAGAGAAATGAAAAACTTATGTTCACACAAAAACTTCTACATTGATATCCATGGCAACTTTATTCAAAGTAGCAAATAACTGGGAGCAAACTAAATGTCTCTCAAAGGGCAGATGGTTTCAAGCTGTGGGACATCCATACAATGGAATTTCATTCAGTAATAAAAAAGGAATGAACTCTTAGTACCTTCAACAACCCAGACTGATCTCAAATGCGTTATGCCTAATTTAAAAAAAGCCCAAATCAAAAGTTAAATATTATAGGGTTTCATTTATATAGCACTCTTAAAATGGCAAGACTAGAGATAGAGAAAATAATTGTGGTTGTCGGGAGACAGAGAAAGGACAGTTGGTATGAATAAAAATGGTAGCATAGGAAATGAAACTAGTCTGTATTCTGATTGTAGTGGTAGTTACTGAATCTATACGAGATAAAATGGCAAATAACAATAAACACACACACACATACATACATGAAAATATGTAAAAAATCATGAAATGATTAGGCTTATCTCAATTTCCTGGTTTTAATACTGACAACAAGTGCAGTATATACAATACAAGATACTCCCATTGGAAGAAGCTGGAAGAAGGGTACACAAGACTCTGTGTCTAAACTCCTAAGAGTCTACAATTATTTATGAATAAAGATTTAAAAAGCAAAATATTAGATGAAACAGACCTGCATACTTATCAAGACTGAGATAGGACACATAAAAAATCCCACATACTCAAATATGGGAGAGTGAACTCTAGTGGTTCACTTGAAAACCTACAAGGTATCAGTCTAATAAAGAATCATATTTCAGGCTGGGCATGGTGGCTCATGCCTGTAATCCTAGCACTTTGAAAGGCCAAGGCAGGTGGATCACCAGAGGTCAGGAGTTTGAGACCAGCCTGGCTCATGGTGAAATTCTGTCTCTGCTAAAAATACAAAAGAGCCAAGAGTGGCTCCGTGCACCTGTAATCCCAGCTACTCAGGAGGCTGAAACAGGAGAATCACTTGAACCCAGGAGGCAGAGGTTGTAGTGAACCAAGATTGTGCCACTGCACTGCAGCCTGGGTGACAGAGCAAGACTCCATCTCAAAATATAAATAAATAAATAAACAAACAAATAAATTATACAAATACATTGAAATTAAATGACATGTTCCTGAAAGACCAGTGAATGAAGACAAAAATTAAAAATACAATTAAAGAATTAGTTGAAATAAATGAAAATAGAAACTCAATATACCAATTCTATGGGACAAATAAAAAGAAGTATTGGGAGGCAAGTTTATAGCAGTAAATGACTACAGTAAGAACTAGAGAGATTTAAAATAACCTGCTGATGCACTGCAAGGACCTAGAAAAACAAGAACAAACCAAAATTACAATAAGTAGAAAGAAAGAAAGATCAAAAGCAGAAATAAATAAAATCGAGACTAAAAAATACAAGAGATTCACAGAACAAAAAGTTAGCTTTTTAAAAGATAAACCAATGGACAAACCATTAGCTAGATTAACAAAGAAAAAAAGGGAATACCCAAAAACCAAATCACAAATGAAAAAGGAGTTATCACAATGGGTACCACAGAAAATAAAAGTATAATTAGAGATTACTGTAAGCAATTTACATGCCAATAAAATAAAAAACCTAGAGGAAATTGATAAATTTGTAGATACATACAACCTATTAAGATTGAACCAAGAAGAAACAGAAAGCCTAAACAGAGCAATAACAAGTAATAAGATTGACTCAGTTACAAAAAGTCTTCCCCCAAAAAAATCCAGTACAAGATGACTTTACCACTGAATTCTATTGAACCTTTAAAGAAGAAATAACTTCAGTTCTTCTAAAACTATTCCAAAAAATTGAAATGAAAGGAACTCTCCCTAACTCATTCCACAAGACCAGCGTAACCTTGATACCAAAACTAGACAGGGACACAACAACAAAAAACCACTATAAACCAATATCTCTGATGAACACAGATAGAAACATCTTCGACAAAATGCCAGGAAACTGATTCCAACAATATATCAAAATGATAACACACCATGATCAGGTGGGATTTATCCCAGAAAGTCAAGAATGATTCAACATGTATGAATCAATAAATGTGATACATTTCATCAATGCAATAAAGGACAAATGCCATATGATCATCTCAGTAAAGGCAAGTAAAGTATTTGATAAAATTAAATATTTCTTCATAATAAAAAATATTCTTAATAAATTAGATGTAGGAAAAGGTACCTCAACATAATACAGGGGCCATATATGACAAAACCACAGCTAATATCATACTGAAGAGGGAAAAGCTGAAAGTTTTTTATATAAGAACTAGAACAAGACAAGGATGTCCAGTCTTAGCACTTTCATTCAACGTAATACTGGAAGTCCTAGCCAGAGCAATTAGCCAAGAGAAAGAAATACAGGGCAGCATCTATT